ATGATTCCCATGCTATTATTCAACGTTTGGGGTTTTAGTCAGAAAGCTTTCTTAGGTCCTTTCTTCTTTATTCACAAGGCACGTATATATAGATATATGGAAATATAATATTGAAAGGATAATATACAAAGGATTTGAAAAACGGAAATATATTGAGAAAAGAGTAAATATAGAACAAAAGTGCGGAGAGATAAGGAAGATTTACAAAAACTATGAAAAAAAGAAGAAGATAATCTCTAGCAATAAAACAGTTAACATCATTAATCCTTTTTTTAAAAATTACTAACCCTAATATGAAAACAATTAAAAGCATTATTCATGTTTTTTAATAGAGTAAATTACAAATCCTAATAAGAAAATGATTAAAATTACTAATTTTTAACCACATATATTAAAAAAGAAATTATACAACAAAAAAGTGATTAAAGTATATAATTTTATTATACAAAGTTTGATGTTCTAAAATTAGTAATTAACATAATCGCGACACATGTCAATTAATCAATCATATTTTAAAGCATGTAAATTTTGACAAATTGATTTTTTGATATCGATTCAGAAAAATACAAAGCCGAATATGATTCAAAAGGTAAAACTGAATTAAATAAGTTTATGAGAATCAATTTTTTCAAGGTTTAAAGAAAAATATAGTTAAGTAGCAAAATAATAAGAAAAGAAAATTAATTCAATAGGAATATAACAAATTAAATATTATATGAGTAATATAATACTTTACAACACATGAAATTAATTAAAAACAAAAAAAAAGTGGAAAAATCGTATTCACCAGTAAAAATAAATAAATTTATATTGCAAATACAAAATGGCACAGCAATAGTACATATTATTCTTATTTTATTATTTTTACTTTTACTATTTTGTCAAATATAATTTTTTTTTAAATAAAAATCTTATTCAAACAAGAATATGAAAACTAATTCTTCAAAGTTTCATATGAGTCAGTTACACTACTCATTTTTAAAGAATAAACAAATATTTATAAAATAATAGTAAAAATTTAAAAAATAAATAAATTTATTTTTATGCAGAATCGGAAAAATAAGAAAATTCAAATGTGATTTAAAATTAATCTTATTCTAATATAAATATGAAATCTAATTCGTTAAAGTGTTTCGTGTCATCGACATACTATTTGAATTTAAATGTGAAATCTAATTCAAATGTGAATCGATAAGATTTAACATTTATAAACTAAATATTTGCGAACATATAACAAAAACTAATTGCAGACTAAACTAATATAAAGAAATAAGAGAATCAAAATAAGTAAAAAAATGTAATTTTTCTTAAGCTTTTCCATTGTTAAGTAAACTATAGATAATTTAACTTTCAAATTTTATATTTTAAATTTTTTCTTACGGATTTTAAAGTATGACTTTAATTAAAATAAAAGAAGAAGAAGATAAATACTTAAGAGTAGAAGATAATCCCTTTTGTTTCGCTTGATTGAAGACCTAACGAAGTTGGAGACGTTAAGGAACCATTAAAATAGTTAATGGCTGCTTTATCTTTAACTAGTTAACTTAATACAAAATTAGTTGTGTCTATAGAAAAAATTATTGTGTAAGATCGGATTCAACTATCAATACAATTTTAGTGGTCGAATGTATTAGCATGAGAAGAGTTAGCAAAAAGGATTGTGTACAATGAGTTCTCTCGGAAAAAGGCTTAGCAAGAGGGAGAGTTTTGATGATTTGTCCAAAAGCTGTAACGGTATGATAAATCCCGAATCAGCACTCACCGAGAGCACGAGATAAGGGCAAATCAAAACCCAAAAGGTGAAGGATCACCTCGAAGATCTAAGATTTGGTGTAAATGGAGGACGATGATGATCGAAAGAAATAAAGGAGATTGAAGAAGATAATTTGTGTTTTTGATTGATTCCCAGAAAATGGCTAAAACCCTTTACATATAGAAGAATCACGATGGTTCGGTGGTCTAAACAAATGACCAAAGAAGATTAGTGAACCAGAAATTAGAAAACTAAACCGGTTACCGGTTTATCCTGTTACGCTACTCCCCTGTCGAGAAGAAAGATTGCAAAACTGCCAATGAAAGCTTGAGAAAACTTCACAGTAGCGTGTTCCGGAGGGTACCATTTCCATAGAACAAGGGCTTTAAGGACAGAGATATTGTGATGTAACTGATGTTTAGCCATCCACTTATAAAAGTACGCTTTAGGTTCCTTAGCTTGGCCTGCATGAGAGATAGAGTGCCTAAATTCTTTGAAGAAGATAAGCAAAACTTCCTTGGTAGTGATCTCATCTAGTAAGTCCTTAAGTAAAGGATTGTAGTACTTGTCATCAACGGTGACCCCGCAGGCTGCATTGTTTCTTTATGAAAGAACCCATAGACTTCTCTTCTTTGATTCTTCCATGTAGATCAGATTCTCCTTTGATATGTAGAGCAGCGGTATTAATCAAACAAGCAATATTCTTGCGATTCTTGACAACTTGTAACACTCCCAACAACAGAGACAACTCATACATAGCCTGCCATTCTAGATATGTAATCAAACCACCTGCAACCTTTTGTTCTTTCACCCATAAGACCCTATGAGCCTCTATATCTACCTCAATTCTCATTTTACACTTAATGTTCCTTCCTGCCCTGAGTTATGTTGTTCATTCTGTAGCGGAGCTCTAGACAGAAGTTTAAGTATGTACTTGAATTCCCAGGTCTTGTGGTACGACCACTGCTGTAGCTTCCTCCAATCTTTAGCATAGCTTAAAAGTACACTAAACTCCTTAACCAAACGGTCAACATGAGCAGCTCTCTTTCTTTCACTACGCATGTAACACAACTGTTCTAACAAGCTGCGGTATTTCTTCATCAGATGACCAAGAGAAATCCTTAGCTTGAGTTCTCCATGAAGATATGAACTTTTATTGTCTTCTAGAAATGAAGTGTTCTTAGTCACGTAATCAGTATTCTTGATAGCTTGAAGCATTTGTGAAAACACAAACCAGTACTTCCATTTAACCACATTTCTACCAAAGAAGACATTCTTTTTGATGTCGCTATTTTCCTCCAGCAACACTGTGACTCCTATCTCTAGCTTTGATTCGCAAAACAAACCAGCAAGTATCCTGTAGTCCAATAAATCAGAAGAGAACCTTGACTGTTTCAGTTTCTCCAACACTCTAATCACTTCATGATATCTTTTAGGTTGACATAATCCAGAAGTCAAAGCATAAAAGATCTTCTCGTCATGAGAATATGCAGCTTCATTCATTAGATTTATCCAATGCATAGCTTATACGGGAATAGACTCCTTGGTTACCTTCTTTGACGACAGCCTCAAACCCGAATTTTTGAGTGTGAAAGTATTAGTAGTCCAAAACTCTACTCTTCTATCAATGGCAAACTCCAGATCCTGTTTGATGCTTTCTAAGCAAATTTCCTCCAGTCTAGGGACAAAGTTTCCTTTCAAAGTTCTCCATACCACAACATTACCAACATAGAATAATGTTCCACCACCAACAATTCTAGATATTAAGTTTAAGATCCACACATGTACACCGTTAGATTCTGGCGGTCTTGAAAGAGATCCATAAATGAGCATCAATTCAATCTTTAAATGCAGCCATATATTTTCTTCAATCCATGATGCGATATCAAAATCAGAAAATACCTGAATCAGAAACCATGCTTTCACTACCCAATCTTGAGTTTCTTTTACCCGTGGAATGACCATCTCTGAATTTTTCGGGCAATGGTATGAGATATAGATATCCAAGTCTGCTTCAAACTTCCTGCTATGAACACTCAAGCAGACCATTACACTCAACACATCAGCTACTAACACTTCTTGAAATTTCATATCCATATAAATGATTCCTTTCAAACGCAATCCATGAAACTGCTGTGTTATCTTCAGAACGCTACCAGCATTATGATCTTGTAGACACAACAATCCACCTGGCTTCCACACACGATTAGCTCGAGATAATTTATGGAGATAATCACATATTATTAAACTTCTCGATTTCTGATGGTAAAGAAATGTTTCTATCTGATTCAACATTTCCAGCCTTGATCCATTCTCATCTACTAGCTTTAATCGATCATCTCTCGATTTGCTTCTCTTTGAAATGGTTTTGAACTTAAATTTCCATGCCTTAAGATACTTCCTCTGTTTCTCCTTACTTGGTACCCTTAGAGGAATTTTATCAAACACTTGGTGTGCATCGGTTTTGGCATTACCACTTGTTGATTGTTGAAGTAATTCTTCCTCTTCTTTGACATGTGAAACCACCTTATGAACAAGCAACACATCACGATCTGAACCCAACTCACGCTCTGCTACCAACGGTTTGGTGAACGAATCTGAATCCTTAGTAGTTTCTAAGGACGGCTCTGGATTAGTCACAGTTTCCAGAATTTGATGAGCCTTCTCTTTAACATCAGAAGCTAGATTATCTTCACGTTCCGTCATGACAATCCGTAATCTCTTGTGCTTCAACTGTTGGTGAGCAGGAGAATCTTGTTCTTCACAAAATATACACAAGCCATTGTCCATTCTCTCATACACCTCCTCACATGAATACTTCAGAGGACAGAGCTTGTGTGTGTTCAATTTCATGATTCTGGGTCCGGAGAAGGAAATGCTCTGATACCAATGTAACGGTATGATAAATCCCGAATCAGCACTCTAAGGTAAGATAAATCCAATCCAGAGATCCACCGAGAATCCGGAGATTGGCAAATCAAAACCCAGAAGGTGAAGGATCACCTCGAAGATCTAAGATTTGGTGTAAATGGAAGACGATGATGATCGAAAGATATAAAGGAGATTGAAGAAGATAATTTGTGTTTTTGATTGATTCCCAGAAAATGGCTAAAACCCTTTACATATAGAAGAATCACGATGGTTTGGTGGTCTAAACAAATGACCAAAGAAGATTAGTGAACCAGAAATTAGAAAACTAAACCGGTTACCGGTTTATCCTGTTACAAAAGCACCTAGAAATCGTGTAACAAAACTTTGAGATTTGTTCAATGGTAGTATTAAACATATATGCAAAAGACGGAAACAAAACTGAGAAAGCAAAATCGGTAGAAGTAAAAAAATACTCGCGACAACTCCAGAAAGACTAATAATTATCAGGGTTGTTCAGAATTCCAATAACAAATACAAATTCTCCCAAAGACTAAAAATTTGAATAACGTAACTTGGATAGTATAAGAAGAAAGTATCACATAGGTGCAGACAAAAGTTTATGATTTGAGTCGTTAAACTTGACCATTCTTCTTATGTTATCAAGGTTGGAGCTGATCGGGTAGTGAACTCCTCCATCTTGGACATCTTCATAGCTATGTCAACCTGTGAATCACAAGTATCCACATTCGGTGAAAGTTTGGCCAAAAGCTAACAAAATAACTGAAGGCTAATCAACATTTTTTTTTTCACTAACCTAAGGCTATGCCTAATCCGAAAACAACATCTCCTTTCTTCAAATCCGCCAGTTTGGCCGAAAGACTAATCTTTCCAGTACCCAATCCACCCTCGATAAGAGCACAAACCGCACCCTCAGAATCAGCATTGCCTCGGAGACGACACTGAAACAGAAGGTGCTATAATATTAGAATTAAACAGATTTAGAAAGACACTTCAATTCCATTAAAATCGAAAAATGGCGATGCTACCTGATCGAAAACGTAGTCACAACCAAAGCTGGCTTTTGCATCATTTGCGAGGTAGTTGAAGACAAACTCTGTGGCTAGAGAAACCTGATTATGAGCAAAAAATATATGTCATGATTATGATCTCTTACACTGAGTTTAAAGATAAACAAGAAAGGAGCATTACCTTTTTAGAGACCTTATGCACATATGTCATAAGGATGTTACCCGTGTCAAAGCCTTGAGCAGTGGCAACCTGTTGATAAGAAAATCTCAGTAACTACACATTGCCCAATACCAATAGAAGAGAGCTAACTCGAGCCACATTCATCTATCTCCAGCTTTTTGTATTAACACACACTGATAAACTACAGTGTTCTAAGAAGAGAATATTACCATTTTATCATCTTCACATCTTACGCCAAATCCAACTGCAGACTTTTGAGAAACACCCGCCCAAACAAACTCACTTCCTAGTGAAAGGCGGGGTGAGACTCGCTGCAGCACAGAATACAGAAATTAAGAATGAAGTATGTAAGAGAATTGTTAAAGGCGTGAAGAAACAACCTGTATGTATGTAGCTCCCATCAAGCCGTTGCTCCCGAGCTGCAGTTGTGATCGGTTGCTTAGCCCCGTGTACTCGAGGGTGACAAGAGCAGTCGACGACGTTGCACTGGCCTTGAGGAGAATTTGTTCAGTTACAGAAGCTTTCACTCTCGCATTGAGAGTACCGTCTGTAGATGCTTTTCCAACAAGTACCAGCTACACAAAAATGAGAGATATCAGTAAAAGAAAAAAGAAATGCAATACAAAAACTTTCATTTGATTTGCTTGTGCATTACCTTAGGGTGAAAGAAGTATCCACCACATTCATTATTCGCTTCTGAGTTCGTGGAACTGATGAAAACCTTCTGATCATAAATGGCAGCAGAATAGTTTACACGTAAACCACTGAATTGATCTGGGTGTAGAGACCCTTCAAAGAAATAAAACCAGTTAACAACAAGTTGAGAAATGACTTTTGACTAGCAAGAACAAACTTTGATTCAAATCCAGATTAATAAGAAAATCATACACCAAAATGACTTTCTACTGTATGTAAAAACCGATAAGAAGTAAGAACACCTTGAAACAATTAGATATGAAACAGTAACAGTAACCAGTTAACAAATAGACGAGAGCTAACTAAAGGCTAAAGCCACATTCATCTATCTCACACACTGATCAATAGAAAACTTTAGATCACACAGTCTGTAAAGCTAAGTAAGTACGACCACCTTGAATCGATTCATGGAAGGGAGAGCTAACTCACGCATCAATCTCTAGTTTTTAAGTTTCTATCACACAGAAAAAGTAGAGAAATCAAACGCATCTATATATCTCCAGATTTAAAGATTCTATCACACAGAAAAAATTAGGGAAATCAAACGCATCTATCGCCAGTTTTTAAGTTACTATCACACCGAAAAATTGGGAAATCAAACGCAGATAGATTTTAAGTTACTATCGCACCGAAAAATTGGGAAATCAAACGCATTTCTCTCCAGTTTTTAAGTTTCTATCACAACAAAAAATGAAGGAAATCAAACGCATTTATCACACCGAAACATTAGAGAAAACTTACTAAACGCTTCATGGTTTAGCTCCTCAAAAGCAACTGGGAGGTTGAGGTTTGGTTTCGTTTTTGTGAAATCAAGGAATTGCTCATCCGACATTGCAAATCAAAATGGGGAGAAATTTTCTTAGGGTTTCTGGGGGCCGAGCGAGCCTCTTCCGATTTCGATTTCGTTTTATGACTTTCAAGTTTCAACCTTTTTGTATTTTTGGTTATTTTAATTGTGCCAATGTTGGTTTTCTCCGGTTCGATTTTTTATCCTCAACCGGATTGTGTGACTCACGAGTTTATTAGCTCTTTCGAATTACACGATTGTACCAATCCAATTTTTTTTTCCTTTTTCTTTTTTTTTTTAATCTCACGCTCATTATATACTTAGTACTCAATTATTCTTAGTACAAGTCTTAGCTCAAATTATTCTATCTCTTAAAACAAAATATATGTTTAAATATTTATTAAAATTCATATGTTCAAACAAAACCACAAAAAGTTGACATTCGAATATTTTATAGTTAATTAGACCCAATTACCCCAAATATTATTATTCTTATCTCAATTAATAATATTGGGACAAATGAATTTTTATTATAAACATAGGTTTATAAAATATTTGATGTACAAACACAATTAACAACAGTGGCTCATCCATAAGTTATTTTCACCTGGCTCAGACATAAAATCGAAATCCAAAACCGATCCAAAATATAATTTGATTCTAAAACCAAACCAATTATTCATAAAACCTTAACGGATTTTAAATGTTTTTATCCGAATTATCTAATCCGAACCAAAAGTGAACAATATACCTGAGAATCCTATATATTACTAAATATTAGTTATAATTTATAACAAAAATAACAAAAAAACATATACGAAAAATCACTACTTGTATTTGTTAAATTTATACAATTTTTTGCAAAATTTTATTAAAATTGAACAACTTTTAAGTTTTTTTTCCCAAAAACTGTTCCTAATCCGACACTTATCCGAACGAAAAAATTATAAAACCCGAACAAATATTAAACTCTCTTACCAAATAAAATTTCACAAATTATGTTTTCTATGGGACATAATCTTAATAAGTTTGAGAAAATTTGTTAATTTTAATAGATATATTACAAAAAGTTATGGAACACGTGCCCTACCTCTCATATACCTACGCCGAACATGAACCGAAGAATTGTAATGGAAATCAACAAAAAAAAGAATGAGAAAATATGAATCGAAGAAGAAGCGCTCACAATCGGTGAGTCTCTGATACCATATCAAAATTTTCTATCGTAACAAACTTATGAAGACAAAGAAGAAGAAGAAAGCAAAAAATTGAGATTAAAGATTGCTAATTTTCTCATTATCCAACAAATGTTTACATATATAGTTTAGTATTTATATGACTAAACACTTTATGCTAACATACACTATAGTAAAATATACTTGATAACGTCCGCCGCCACTGCTTAACACTAAGATATGTTTGTGAGGATTACGTACGAGGTTGACTTATAAGGCCAGGGATGTTACAACTTAAACAAATCCGAAGGCTGACGCATCTAATCTTTCCTGCTCAATGCGTCAAACAAATATTTTGGATTTTTATTCCTTTTTTTTCTTTAATGTAAATCCAAAATGACTAAAAAAAAAGCCAAATAATCCATAGAGATTGCTCAATATTGTAGTTATATTCTTAAGAAATGATGTTTCCTTTCATGAAATATAAAACGCATGCATGCTTTAAATTATACTCTTTGCATGCCATGATTATAACAAAAGTTCAGATTTAATTTTATAGAAACAAGTTGGACAGAATATTCATATAATTAGTTATCCGTCTATAGGTCAGTACTTTTAGTAAAATCGGATCTGGAACCATAATCTTTTAAGACTAGAGATCAAAAGAAATTAAAATTGTGATCTTTCTTATCTTCGGTGTTCAATTTTTTTTTCAATATACATATATCTTTATTCATTTTCCGGCTGCCCCAATCAGGGAAACATTCGAAATTACATTTCTGATCTGCAAAATGAAAAACAATTCTTGAATACGTAATACGACGTCTAAACTACCGAGAGTGGTTGAGTTGGTATATGATGTCTTCGTAGAGGTCAAAGCTGGCCTGGCGTGTTTGTGGCGAGGACGACGCCGTGAACGTTTCACGGTAGAGATGAGGCGTTGTAGTTGAAAGGTGAACGGCTTGGTCCATGCATGGCGGAGCTGACCACAAGGCCATGACCATCGGTTTTGATCGTCTAAAGATTTGACTTAATTTGAGAGGTAGTTCGGACATGCATGCGGTGGGGGGAGACGCTAGCTATATTTGGTATGCATGAAGTTTTGATATGGGCATTGATTAAGACGAGAGACTGATACGACGTAAATATTGATGGTCATGATATATATCATGTGTATAACATCATTTAGGAGATATTAGTAGGAGTTTGTGATCAATTAGGGAATTTGACAAGTACCAAGTAAGATTTTTTTGACTAATGTGGATGAGTAGAGATGTGGGATATATATTATTTCCTTTAGGGAAGTAGAGTTACTATAAATGTATGGATACTCTCTTTAATTTCAGTCTCATAAATGAATGTATACACGTATGCAGCCACGTCAGAGCGTCTGATTTATGTTTGATGTTAACACATGAAAATTAAAATTAATTAAGAAGAAAATATATTATAGAATCCAAGTTAGCAATGACCATTCGTTCGAACTAATGGCATAAACATTGAACATAACATAAGAGCTTTATGTGAATTAAAACAACTACTTACGAAAGGAACTCAAGAATCAAATGAGTATAGATACTAAAATGTGATTTGGCTAATGGCCTGCCACATTGTAAGAAGTTTGAGAGATATATACCTTTCCCGTAGTGCCACATGTCACAAAGTCTGAAACCACGTAAGATAACATATCATAAGGAAAGGAAGAAACCACGTAAAGAAAAGCTGAAGAGGTGATTTAGATAGTATAACAATTAGCGAACTTTTAACTATATTCATTACCAATATATAATTCATGTAAAAACTTTAGCATATATAACCACGTAAAGAGTTTGTGATTCATTTGGGAATTTGACAAGTACCAAGTAAGATATTTTTGACTATTTTGGATGCGGATGTGGAGCTAGAGCTAGAGCTGGGATTTTTGTTTTCTATAATATATAAATGAGTTTGACTCCCACCCCCCAAATAAAAAGCGCATATACAAATTTACAAAGTAATATGAGTAACGTGCAGACGTGGCTCAGTAGTAATGAGTTGGCTCTAGTTAATCGGTGTGTTGATAAGGCGATACATTGATGATCATTCTATCATTAGTCATCAAGTATTCATTATATTGCTGACGATCATTATGTTTTAATTACACAACTATAAACGCCAAATCGGATTGTTGATTTCTTTTAACATGCATGCATGAATTGAAATCCATATAGTCTTATGTTAACTCTATAATATGCTAAACTTAACCTTTTACCAAAAAAAAAAAAAAAAAAAAAAAAAAAAAACTTATTCTTTCTTTATTTGAATTTTTGTTTTGTTGTTTATGCTAACCTAAGCCTTTGTATATTTGACTATCATACGCATGAAGTAATATATTCATGATAGTTCTCATGTGCCTGATAGAGATATAATAAGACGAGTCTGTTTTGTTATTATTGGCTGTAATGTTTATGTAGTTTGTTAACGCTTTTCGGTTTTCGTAATTGACGTAAAGAATTACAATGATTAGTCTATATATTATTTCTTATTAATATGTTTCCTTTACACACTATCGTAGAAGAATGTTTTTAAAAAATTAGTCATCCGATCCTTAAGGTAAAAAATTGTATGAGCTAATTTTAGCTTTTTTGATCGAAAGTTATAAATTTTGAATTAGGGGGTAGATAAAATACTCTTAATTATATATAAGGTGAAATTTAGCTTCTTTAATACTTACCTTGAGCTTAGAACTTATACCATATCATATCATCTGGTCTTACCAATCCGAAGAAGCTCAAATTCAGCTTCAAAATTCTGCTACAAAGCTGTTCCATATCTCCACCATCAAAATTGTTTATTTGTATATGCATTAATTCCCCGATGGGTCGAGGGTACTGACGTGAAAATTGTTACTTCCGCTTGACGGCACAAAAAGAGAGCTAGTTATAATATTACTTTCTCTATACAATGGAAACTTGAGGTCACAACCAAAAAAAAAAAAAAAAAAAAACACAGAACAGAAAGAAACCATGAAAACTTCTCTTCATCAAGCACTTCTCGTCTTCTTCTTCGTCGTAGCCACACTTCTCCTTCAAATCCTGACCGTCCATTTCCCAACCCTCTTCTTCATCATCATCAACATTATAACAAGCTAACTCAAAGGTAGAGAATAGAGATATAATAAGACAAGTCTGCTTTGTTACTGGCTGTAATGAGATCGTAATGCTATGTAGTGGTTAACGATATTTCGTTTCTCGAAATTAACGTAACGAAATAAGTGTGTGGAAATAATTAATAATGATCAGTCTATATATAGATAGTAGTATTTCTTATATTTATTTGTCCTTTAGTTATACAATAAATCGTTTAAGAGTGTTTAAAACAAATCAGACATCCTTAAAGGTACAAAACTGTATAAGCTAAAAGCTACTTTTAGCTTTTAGATCGAAAGTTACAATATGGATCATAAGTTGACTATATTTAAAATTTGAATTGAATTCGGGGTAGATAGATTAAATTACTCTTTTTATTATATTAAGTGGTGGAATCTAGCTTCTTTTATTATAATAACCACGGTTACTTTACCTTGAGCTTAGAACTTATACCATATCCTCTGTTCTTGACCAATCTGAAAGAAGCTCAAATTCAGCGGTTAGCAACATATAAGAACGCTAGAAGTAAAGTATGTTGGTTTGTAAGACGCTTAGAAAAAGAAAAAATTATAACGCAAATCAGCGGTTAGCAACATATATTACAAAAAGGAAAATCACAACTTTCTCTATTGGGGTTAACATGAAGATGCGGAGCTAAACGTGGGCATGACATCTTAAATTTTCCTGTTACCGGTGACGATGGTAGAATATATATAGATGCCACCGTCTCCGATAAGCATCACGTTCTTGGTCGATTTCTGATCTCCACGTTTTCTCGGTAACGACTGCTATAACGTAATAGTACTACAACTATATATTAGATAGTGACATAGTGTTGTGTGTTTATACACATATACTCGGTGTTAGTGAAACACGGTTTTGTACCGACCGGTTAGATGATATTTGTATATAAATACAATTGAGTCAATCTTCATCATATTCTTCGATTGAGAATTCGTTTTAAGCTATATAAACGAATAATAGATGTGTTGAATCCAAACGTAAACGTAGCAAAGCATGCTTATTCCTAGACAATGAGAGGTTTTTCGGATTTGGACAACAACCTATGCCGGAGAATTAATTAATGCGGAGTATCATATGTATTATGAACAAAATTTCCCAGGTATTAATTAGTAAATACGAAGAATATATATTAATAAATAAACGGAATTTCAGATGTGAAAATGATGCTTTAGAATGGAACGTGGCATAAGTTGATAAAACAAACGAATTCCATAAATATTTTCGTGGCTAAAAAGAAAAAGGGAAAAAAAATAAAGAAATAAAATGTAAAGGTGTATAATGGCGTTGGAGAAAAAGATTCTGAATGGTAATATTATTTCCGCCAAGGTTGGAAATAAAGCCCATATATAGCCAGCCAGCCCAATAAAAAAAATGTATGCAAATTCTTAAAGGGGTATTTTTGTCTTTTTAGTTGTGGGACCACCAAATGACACTCTATAGTGTGTACTGTGCACTCCTTCTTCTCTAGGAATTTTCAGAGAGCAAGTTGACGTCTTGACGAGAGATGTTTAGGGTATTGGGGGAGAAAGTTTCCAGAGTGTTTAGGGGTAAGGTGAATAAAAGAATGTTGATTTTGTGATCGATTTAGTGATTGGTATAGTAAAGAGGTCGACACTCCAGAAAAAAAGGCAGAAATTCCAAAGGAGCCCGAGGTTACGGTGGTTATGGCGGTGACGGAGACAATAAACACAGAGATTCAGAAGGAGGAATCCGTGCTCGAGTCACTCGGAGACAAGATGGAGAAGGAGTTCCCCGTTCACTATCCAACCCTTGCTGAGCTCAATGTTTGAGCTAAGTATCTCGGATCAAAAAGTGACTGCTTTTTTTGGGTTTTACCCTTTCGTTATCGGTTGTTTTGAACTTGTGGGTTGATGTTTTTTGGACGGATTTTGCATTGTTTTTTGCATTTCTCCTTCGGATTGGATGATTCTCTTTGTTGGGTTAAGGATTTGATCGTTTGTGGTATGATGATCAGGAAAGACGAAAGCTTTTTGATTTTCTGCAATTTGATCCATCCATTTCCATAAGCATTTAACTGATTTTTGCTTTGCTTTTTTTTGTGTGTGTATGATCGATCCACTTTTAGCACCAATTCTATAAACAATAAAGACTCATGAACACAGATCGTAAGAAGCCGCAAAAAATTAAGTTGAATCAGTGAAATTATAAACAGAAAGAAGAACTAGCATAATCTCGATTATTCACAGGAGATACAAACTAAGCAAGATCAATCCAAATTTACGTCCAATTAGATTCTTCCGACAGCAAACATAATCGTCAAAAAAAAAAACTACAACATCATCCAAACAAAAATCAATAAACCAGCGAAGAATCTCCATCCAATTTGTTTTTTTTTTTTTAGATAAAACACCAACATTGATTATAACAATCAACCAAAATGGAGAAAAATTGAACAAGAGATCACCTTTATGATCAAGCCTCAAGCTGACGATCATTATGTTTTAATTACACAACTATAAACGCCAAATCGGATTGTTGATTTCTTTAACATGCATGCATGAATTGAAATCCAATATAGTCTTAGGTTAACTCTATAATATGCTAAAACATCTTAGTGATTAAAAAAAAAAAAAGGTGGATTTTATTATAAACATAGGATATATGAAATGAAACGTGTCAATTTGATGTACAAACATAATTAACAATAAGACACGATTGTGAGGATTACGTACGAGGTTGACTTGTAAGGCTATGGACGTTGCAACTTAAAACAAAGTTGAAGGCTGACGCATCTAATCTTCCTTGCTCAATGCATCATACATTCTAAAACGTTTCTACTACCAATAATTTGAAGAACTAACCAAAAAAAAGCCAAAGAATCCCCATATATAGAGATTTGACCAATATAGGTACATTCATAAGATGTGCATGCATTCATGGCTTAACCGATAAATGAAATGGTAATGTGCAGCAGCGGTTTCTCCCGAGACTTCCGAACCAGGATGGTCTTCATAGATTTTATAAACCGTTCGAAGCGTGTCCACATCCTCGGGACGTTCCAATTATGATCGGAGTAAGCGTCTCCGACTTGAACAAAAGACAACTCCGGGAATCTGAGCGCATTCATGAGATAATCCGTTCCCCATTTAATGGCTTTCACGGTGAAATAAGGAGAAGCATAGCGAGCATAATCGCCGGAGTGATTAGGGTGTTTCCCGCCATTTTATAGTTCTCACTTTGGCTCTATTTTTGTTTGTATGTAATTATGTATTGAGGAGCCGTTATGGGCTATTTTTATACTCGGAAAAAAGTCCTTTGGGGATTCTAGAGATAAGAACCAATGAAAAGTCGCCATGTAGATTTAATGGATTGCATTATGTTCCATGTTGGGGTAAATACGCTTCATTGACGTGTGATTTTTGAATTTTAGATTTTACTTCCCCATAATTAATTAGGCTTTTTAGGACTTACGTAAAAATTATTGTTATATTTTTTTCTTTACGTGAAGATTATTTCCCTACGGCCGTATCCAATATTTAATTGTTGTTCGATTATTAAACAACTTCTTTTCCTTTTTAGCGTCTCGGTTTTATAGCAAATTCCATCAACTTTTTGATAAGTTATATAACTAACATTGAAGTCAATGCTTAGCTTGTTCATGTATGAGGACCAATGTTCCTAATTTGACTACGTTAACTAAACAGAAAATTATTTCGATTCTTTAGTTTTATATAATATACATGATGTGAAAATAATTCAAATTAGTTTTTAATGTACTCTATGATGATAGTTATCAAAAAACAAAATGTACTCTATGATATTATGGTCAAACATTCATTTAATATGAAAATATCAATTTATAGTTTAAAATGCATTAATCTAAACGATTATCTGGTTCTTTAATTATTTTTTCTATCATTTTTTCTATCATTTTAAACGATTTATCAGTGACTGTCACACTCATATCTTTTGAGTTAGGCATTTTGTAAACACCACTAAGATACAACTTTCAGCTCAAGTTATTCGATTAAAATTTTTAATGGATATTAAAATCAGTTTCAATGGGATAAGTAATAGTAATACCAATACGATGGGAAAAATGGAATGCTATAAACCAAATGAAACGTTGACAATTTGATTTACAATCACGATAAACCAAATGATACGATTGTGAGGAATACACGGTTGACTTATAAACCGAAAATGCTGCAACCTACACACAAAGATGACGACTGACACCTATGACATTCTTTTTTCAGTGCGCCAGACAATTTTTCAGGACTCCTTTTTATTTTAAAATCAACATAATCTTATATATAAAAAAAACATAAAAAATCAACATCGATTCTACTACGTACATACAAAATCCACACAACGAAAGCCATATTACATTGGCTCTTCTTATTGCAAAATTCAAAACAATCCATCCATCGGATGGAAAACAAAACTATAAATAACCAAACCATCACACACTGACAAACCTAAACGATCTAACCCAAAAATCAAAACTAATAAAAACAGTCATAATTCCTAACACAGTAATTTTTTTTTTTTTGTTTTGTAAACCAACACAAAGTAATGTTATCATCAGATTTTAAAGTGTTATTGTCTGTAAGGATATAGTAATGTTAGCGCTTTTTTTTTTTTTTTTGTGAACTAGTAATGTTAGCGCTTTTCATTTGTCAAAATGACACAAAAAATAAAGTGTGGGGAAACAATCATAAATCATTTTAGAAGGTTTTTTTTTAAAACAAATTAGTCATTCTTAAAGTACAAAATTGTATGAGCTACTTTTAGCTCTTTGATTGAAAAATACAATAAAATAAGCTGACTATATCAAAATTTTTTGAATTTGGGGTAGACAAATATATAGATAAAGCTAACATACCAACGTCTGATACATGGCCTAAAAAAATGGTTTACAGTTCAACATTTTCATGTATTCAGGCCCAGATCGGCCCATTAGACGAATGGTTTACAGTTCAACATTTTCCCCCAACCCATCAAAATTGTTGGATGTTTGGATTAATCCTAATCTATATGCTTTCTCGATAGTATAAATATAAACTTGAGGTCACAAATACCAAAAGTCCAAAACCATCCATAACCCAAAAAGAGTCACTTCCGTGTCACAAGAAACAACACACATAGAACAGAAGAAACCATGAAACCTTCTCTCCATCAACCACTTCTCTTCTTCTTCTTAGCCACCGTCCTCCCATTATTCCTGACCGTCCATTCTCAATCAGACGACTCAGATTTCATCCGCACGAGCTGCAACACCACATTATACCCTGACCTATGCTTCTCCTCTCTTTCCTCCTTCTCTAGCTCTGTCCACAACGATCCAGCCCTCTTGGCTCGAGCCGCCATCTCCGTCACTCTCACCAAGACTCTCGACTTAGCCTCATACCTCGCCAACGTCACCACTCTCCCAGCCGGAGAGCAACGAAGATGGTGCCCACCACCCAACCGCAGCAGCCGTTTTCCATGACTGCTTCGACAATCTTAAAGACGCAGTCGAAGAGATGAGAGGCTCCATGAAACAGATGAGGGAGCTGGTCTCGACTGGCTCGCTCGAGTCCTTTAGGTTCCAGATGAGTAACGTGCAGACGTGGCTCAGTGCGGCTTTAACCGATGAGGAGACTTGTACGGACGGGTTTAAAGACATTCACGATGAGCCGAGGAAAGATGACGTGTGCGCACGGGTCGATGACGTCAAAAAGATGACTAGTAATGCGTTGGCTCTAGTTAATCGATGTGTTGATAAGGCGATCCATTGAGCATTCTATCAATTAATCACCAAATATTCTTCTTCTTTTTTTCTTTTACTTGAAAAAGAAATTATTGTTTTGGTTCTCACGCGTGCATGATAGAGTCATAGAGATATAATAAGATAAGCCTGTTTGTTATTGGCTGTAATGAAATAGTGATATTATGTCGTTGTTAACGCTTTTTGTTTGTCAAAATTACGAAAAGAATCAAGTGTGTGTAAAAAGAATTAGTAGTCTATTATTTCTTATATTTATTTGTCCTTTTACAAAAAATCGTTTTAGAAGGTTTCAAACAAATTAGAACATCATTATGAAGGTACAAAATTGTATGAGCTGCTTTTAGCTTTCTGATCGAAATAAACAAGAAAAGTTGACTTTATTCGAATTTTAAATTTAGTGGTAGACAATATAAGTTTATTGTCGTAGTGTAGTTAATTCAAGTGGTGATAAAAGTACAGAAAAAAAAAATCAGAAGAGTCTGGGCAAAGGATTTTAAATAATGCAAGAAAAATAAAAATTAGAAACGTCTTAAAACTACAATGGATTGGTTTAAAACGCAAATTGCCATTTATAACCTAAATGACACACTTTATATAAGCATTTTTCTCTTTCAGTAATTAGTTTTAATATATATACATGCATCTTACAAATAAGTAATATGAT